GTTCTGTGGTATTTAAACAAATGCATATAACCAAACACATTCCTCGTCTTTGGGGCTCAAAGCAGTAAGCATTGGGATTCCAACCGAGGCCAGCTACAAACTGCGAGCCTTCAATTCTCTAGACCAAGTCATCGACTATACCCTGTTACGGTCTCTAAACCAATTTTTTGTAAGCGCAAACAACGCACAACGCTCGAGTCCATGTGTTGGCAGGTGTAACACGTGACCAAGCCATCCGAGATTGGTGCGGAAAACAGTGTGCTGAGCGGTTCACTTCCTCTCTCTGCACCATAAAAATGAATTAGGATGCACCGATTGCCCAAGCCGCGTTCACGCCAAATGTGAGCTCAGCCGCGAATGCCATCGTGCACGAACGCAACAAGTCACCTTACGTCTGTCCATTTGGTGCGTCACGTTTCATGGCCTTATAAAAGCATCTAAGTAATAGCTGCACTTAGACTTTACTCTTCATGACGAGAGTGATGACGTGTAGACGCAACAAATAACTATGATTCAGAAAAGCACCTAGAGCTCTGAATATACGGTTCGTGATCTCATCATCTAGTCTATAGGGACTGAACCACTGTAACCAGGCTGTACTCAAATATCTTGTTCACGAAAAATCAATTGAAATGACTTTCGGTCCAAATCCAAAATTTTCTGGAAAGTACACGAAGCGTTTGACATGGTTATATAAGGGGACATCCTAGAAAAAAACTTATAGTGTTCGAGTATGATACATTTAAGCAAGGACTGCAGAACTGGCAAATGATCAACGTGCCGTTTGCGAACGCTTGTCATCCGAGTTCCTAGAGGGTCGTAAAACAGCCGATTGTTGCCGGAACTTACGTGACATACTAAGCATGGATGCTCCAAATTCCCTTATGGAAGCATTTTTGTTCCATCGATTAGAGCAGGAAACGCGGATGGCAAAACCTGTGTGACTAAGGATACCTATCAGCGGACGTTGTCAGCAGTACCCATAACTGCGGAGGAGGACCCGAGACAAAGTGTGTGAAGCTTCGTCAAACCTTGATCTTCCAGAGATCACCGTTTATGGCCATCCACGCTAATTCGGAATGGTCCCAAATATAAGACAATATGTAACACACGAATTGATCGTTGAGTAGCTTTTGAACCATTACACTGTTTACTCTAGGACGCAGTCATCGATGGCAGAATGAGGTCGTTACTGGAGACGTAAAATAGGTGCTCTTTGTCAAAAATAGCAGGAAGTGCAAATGGGTCATATTAGTTGGAACGCCAGTACAAGGCCAGAAAGGCTAATCGCATGGCACAATAGTGATGCTGTCAATCTGTTGGCACCGCCGCATCAATTTTGCTTTAAAATTTTGCTTGACAGTTCCAGGGTTACTACCGATGTTTATTGAAAACAACCGCAAAAACTGATCAACGAACACCGAAAAAAGCACCTTAGAGCAGCTCGACAGCACACATCCTCCTGGGGCGAAAACAAGTGCTAATGCATATTACTTCTGACTACTGCTCTTTCCACTTTCTGTACGATCAAAACAAGGACAAGAAATTCGATGGTCTTAAAAAATTAAAATAAAACGGCCCAATACTTTAACAATCAACCCAGCTCGTTCTATGAGAGTTGCAGCAAAAGCTAGTCTGAGTGTTGGAACCACGTCATCAAGAAAGACGGATGAAATCTTTTATTAAATTTTATTGCCTCTTCAAAATAAAGCTCGTGAGCTAAAAATTTATTTGGTTACGGGGCAACCCAATGCATATATATATATATATATATATATATAAACGATCGAAGAAGAAGAAGGAAGGCTCCCAAAATTGTTAACCACCCAGACTTACCAACGTTAGGTCCAGCAGCAGTGTTGGCTTACAACAAGACACATTCAGAGTACTCAAGAGAAAAACGTATCAGAAATAAGGTTCAATGTGTTATTTCTTTGCTATCTGTAACTGGAACACTCGATGTAAAGATATCAGGTGAAACCGCACATGTATCTCTGGTCAACCTATGGACTCTGTTGAAATGAAATCAGTGACGCGTAGTGTATACACAGTATTCGTCTTTACATGGTCTCACCCTTGAGTTCATGTGTCGCTGTGGTACCGTTCGGATTCGCTACTTGTTCTTCATCTGGATGCCCATGTGACCGAAGTTCGGCATGAAGCCTAGACCGAGAATCAGAGTCAACGGCATTTACAAGCCACTGTAGGATCTGTCCGCATCGCTTCCGAATAACGGGAAACTTTAGTAGCATTTGCTCTGCGCTAGACACTGTAGAAATATCCGTACATGTACAGGCGTTCCAGTAGTGAATGGCGGATATGAGGATGAGGTTGTATCGAGACGCACGGACACCGATCCTGAGCAAAAAGGGAGCAATCGACCCGTGTTTGATTTAACTGAAACGGCATTAAGGGTGACATAATAAACACTCAGATATCACGAAATGTGTGTCCTTACAGCTTTATGGCCTATTAGTAGTAAAATGTAACGTGCTGTCGCAGATCGAAGCCAAAGACAAACTTCCACCTACACATTCGTCTTCTTGTGACCAAGTCGGAGAGCCGAGACTAGTTCGCCCGGTAGACAGGTAAACAGCGTTTCATGGATAAATTATGATACCACTGCTTCAGCTGTGCTTAGTCGCAACCATACGTCGGGTGGCAGATTGAAGTAGCGAAGGGGAAAATATTCATTTTCAACTTGATCTTGTTTTTCACTCGGAGAGTCCGCGGTGTGCTGAGGCTTGTGGTGGCTAGATTCCAAACAATCTTTTACCCCCTGCTGCAAATGTTGTACCGTGGACTCATGTCCTGGACGCCTCATCTTGTTGACAGCTAACAGCCAGTACACATACAATTCCGCGTGAGCAGGTTAGCTGACCCATGGCACACGGCCCGCTAACTTTCGAAAATTTTGGCTGAGGATCCGAGTCGTTCTTACACCAGGTATGGTCGTCCTGGCAGTATTTTAGTCCAACTCCCAAGCATGAATCATGTCAACAATGATTAAACCATGCTTTATCGCCCGTCGCGTTTTATCTGCTAGATATAGCAGAGTGGATAAATGAAAACATGCTACTATTAACGCCTCCCATCTTTCTTCTTCCTCTACACATGCTCTCCTCGTCCCGGGTCACCCAATCCAGCAATTTCTCCGATCCAGATAAGTACGCGTGCCATTCACCGCTACCACAATGTTATGCCTCCGTGCCAAGGGCGCAACATCGGATGCTGGAACGTGCCCACACTACTCGACCGGATTATGCGCGTGTCCCGCGCGACACACTACACTGGCGCGCTAGGGGGTCGAAATTGCCGCACTTAGCGAGACACGCTTCGCTGACCAAGGGAATTGTATGAGGTTGGTGCCGATTACATGTTTTACTCAGTGAGGAAAGCAGTTACAACATCACGTAAACATTGGGTCGGATTTGCTCTCTCCGACAGCTAAAATGCTCATCTGGGTGCAGAGCAGACTGGCATCAACCCACGAATGATGACACTTCGCCTAAGCCTTGGGGGAGGTAAGTTTGCCGCTTTTATTAGCACGTATAGGCCCACTCAGTGTATCCTGTTGACAGTAGGGCTCGTTTTACGCCCACTTGTCCTCTGTGATACCGTCTGTGCCGAGGAGCGACAGGTTATTCCTATTGAGTGCTTTCAACTTGCGCGTTGGGCTTGACGCCGCGGTGTGGACCGACGTAATTGGTCCGTATGACGTTGGCAGAGCCAATGAGAATGCTGACCGGCTGTTCTTACTGTGCGCCAATCACGGCCTGATGATCACGAACGCAAAGTTCACTATGTGCGAGTGATATAGCTATTTGGAGGAACCCACATAATGGCGATGTTCATTTGCTCGACCATGTCATATTACGCCCAAGCGACATCCGTTAAGTACGCATGACACGCGTATTGCTTGCGCCTGTGGGTGGCACTGATCACACATTGGTGGGGACCAAATGGTACACTTGTTTTCGTCAATAAATATATTGCACTGCTACAATGAACCGGAGCCGTTTTAATGCATTTTCACTAGACGCTATTGAGAAGACGATGGAACTGGGGAAGTTGATAGATCCCCGATTTATTGACAACAAATCCATAGCTTCAGTGAGCGACTTGTGGCACCACATCCGTGGACAGGTGACTGCTGCTGCTGCTGCTGCTGCTGAAGAAGAGAAAATCGGGAGCGTAAATTGTAAGCGCACCGATTGGTTTGATGACAACAGTGAGACCATTGGTGCATTAGTGTCAGCGAAGTATGTAATTTCGTTGCAAATGTGAATCAAGCGGACGACTACGTGAAGGCCAGTCACTTACACCAACCTCAACAGCACTTAACTCGAGAACTCCGTCGCATCAAAAAAGCAGGGTGGATGGAGAAGGCGTAGCAAATGGATTGCTACGCCGAATGCCACAAACATAAGGAATTCTTTGACTCTCTGAAAGTGGTGTATGGACCCACGTTCTGGCCGCTGAGAACGCTGCTCGATGCTACTTCAGGCACTGCCTGCCCACAGACAGCAGACATAATGCAGATCTGGCAAGCAAAAAATGAGTGTCTTAAGCTGACGTTCAGATATTGACTGGACTAAGTTTTACGCGCTTCAACAACAAGAGCTGAACATCTATCTTGCTGACAAACTGACCCTAGAGGAGACGCAGACAGGACTTGCTCAGCTACTATACGTCGAGCGCGCGGGATCCGACGGGATCTCGCTTGAACTGTTGAAACACCTCCGACCGATGTTTGTAACTGCCCTGCCCCACTTGGTGCAACGCGGGGGGCTTAAAGTGGGAGTACCGACCGGGCCGAAGGATGCCCTTGTGCCACCACCGTACGAGCGTAAAGGGCACAATCACTTTTATACCATTTCTCGTGGCATGAAGTTGCTGAATAGGGCGGGTAAATTGATCGCCCGAATGCTGCTCGACTGCCCCGTCACCCAGCAGGTTGAACTGGAGGTGGAGGAAGAGAAATGCGGATTCCGTTCGGCCAGCAGCACATAGTGTTCGCGACCCGTCAGTTGTAGGAGAAATGAAGAGAGCGACACCAGCTATTGTACTCGCTTTTTGTTGACATCGCCAAGGCATTTGACACGATGAACCGCGAGGCACTTTGGCTAAGGTTGGGTATGTTTGGTTGTCCGAGTAATTTCAAGTTTAATTGTCTATCTGCACAGTGGTATGCCCCCCTAGGAGCAGCTATTTTGTTGGTGTGAAGCACAGGTCCTACTCTGTTCAATAGATACCTAAATGCTCTGATGTACTTTTGATTCTACTTGTGATTGTGGTGTCCGTGTGCAGCACCGTATTAATGGTGGGTTACTGAACAACCACCGTTTTGGGGTGAGATCTATGGCGTGTGACATAAGCAACTGTACGTTGCTGTTTACTGACGACTGCGTTGTTTGCACACAGGGTAGATGAGCTGCAGCACATGACATCGGTCCTCGCTTCGACAGCGGCTAAATTCGAGCTCACCAGCAACACAAGCAGGATAATTGGTCTCCTTCGGCATTCACCAGGAATGGCGCAATTTGTGTTGCCTCATATCCAGATTGTTAATGATGTGTTGGAGACAGCGTCAAAATTTTGCTACCAAGGCAGCGTAATATCAACCAACCTGCAGGCGATGAGCAAGCTGCGCATCCGCGCATCGAAGGCAGCTGCTACTTTTGGCAACCTGAAGGGACTTATGAAGAACAACCACCAGTCTACCGTTAGAACAACACTGATAGTATGCAAAAGTACAGTTCTGTCCGTTCTTCCATACCAACTGAATACTGAGAACAGAGAGGGAGGATAAAAACTTCAGTGTTGTCACATCGTTGGCGGATCGGGCACAAGAGCTAAATCACGCCGCTGATTCCTGCGCCGTGGCAGAAAATTGCAGCTGCACCACATCTTATCCGAGTGTGTTGTCCTCCCTATACATGTACTCCGCAAAGTGGGCGTCAAAGGATCTCTTAAAAAGGACACCAATTTCGTCTTGACTAGCGCCTCCGGCGACTTGTTCCAATATTTCACCACCAGACGCTCAAAGCATAGAGGGTGAGCGATGTGCTTTAAATCCAGTACCACTAGTTTGTATCGGTGTCCGCGTGTGCTGCTTGATGCACGAACGTGCAGCAGCGGCTTTAACATAGGGAACCGGCTCAGGTGTAGTATCCGGTGCGTTATTATGACAGCAATTCGAAGCCGAAGATATGACAAGGTATAAAGCCGTAGTCTCATACATCTGTCATCGTACAACATACAACGTAAATTAGGGATGAGCCGGGCAGCTACACGCTGGACCTGTTCCAGTCTCTGTGCCCCATCTATTCTGATCGGACAGTAAGCGGGTGAGCCGTACCCAAACCCGGGGATGAGAACAGACGGGTGGTAATCTCTTCAGAACAAGTGCGGAAGCTGCATCTAAGTGCCCAATGCAGGCGTAGTTCTTTTGCGTACTGTCCGTTCGTGTTGTCGACTGACTTCAGAGCACAACGTGCGAGTACGCCTAGATCCATTACGGAACTGGTGGGATGCAGCTGGTGGCCGGCTAGGGTGTACGCACGCTTATTAGCACCCATCTCAAGGCTCGTAAACGAGGACTCGGCCGGGTTGACAGGTAGGTCAAATTCTGCAGACCACCGAGATAAGCGATCGAAGTCCTGCTGAAGGATATCACAGTTGGCGGGAGAATGGATAATCCTCCAAATCTTCAGGTCATCTGCAACTAATGCGCAGGGCGTCTGAAGAACTTGAGGCATTTTGTTGATGTGGATCAGGAACAAAATGGGCCCAAGTACTGTGGTTTTGGTTTCGCTGCTAGTGGACGGGTATCATTCCTCTAAGTGGTCATCCACCTGAACCCGCCATCTTCTCCCAATAAGGAAGTCACTGATCCACTGGTGCAGTGCGCCACCAACACCACACATCCTCAGCTTGTATGGGAAGGACCTCATGGTTCAGTTTATCTTAAGCATTGCTGCAATCAATGCAGGAAACTTCCACTGACTTCCCCCGGTGCAAAGCTTGCAACAATTCTTGCGACGTCAACAGCAGGTTGGTGATGCAGGAGCGACCCTTCATAAAGCCCTGCTGTGTTGGCTTCAGGAAATCTTCTGAATCCAGCAGCTGGAGGAGATCTATTCCCACAATCTTCCCGAGCACCTTGACCAAAACAGAGGGGAAACAAATCGGCCGGTAATTTTCCACCTTGCGTGGGTCACCACTTTTTGGAATCGGCTTCCCTACCGAACATTTCCAGTAGCTCTACAATGCACACTCCGCCAACCATCTGTTGCACAGTTCCGTCACGGCAGGCCAGACGATAGCCGATAAAGACTTCAAAGTTGGCGGTTGAC